TGCTGACTACACCTGTCATCTTCCAGCTGACAGAGTATTGAGCCCTCAAGCCGGTCCAGCATATAACAGCAGAGGGCAGTCATGTACACATGTAACCTTCAGGCTCCTCTTGCAAAATCCTACATTTTAGAATCTGTGCGCGCCATGATTTGGTCCAATGCAGCTCGTGTCCTGGCACAACACTGGCCAGTGCCGCATGTGTTCTGTATGGCAGCATGGCCAAAGAAGCAGCAATGGCAGCTACACAACACCAAGGCAGATGATGGCTCCCTGTTTTGGCTCTTTAATGCCTTCATTTTGGGTTCTTCTGCATCATATTTACTAATCAGAGTTAATTTTACTGGCCAAACCAGACAAAAATATTTTTAATGTTGCTTGTTTTTTGACAAGGGCAATGATTCCTCACAAGAGACAGAGAAAGATAGAGAAACCGAGAAAAACCTGAGCTGGATGGAGACTGTGCACATGTGCACATGTGTGCATACATGTTTGTGTGAATGTGTGTGTGGAGCACAGCCACCCACGTATGCATTGGTAAAACTGGTGAAAAGTGCAGGGAGAAGTTGGCATTTGCTTACTGACTTCTGGTTTCAATCCACTCAGACTATAGCAATAGCAAATTCTTATCACTTGATTGTGTTCTGCAACCTGTGTAAAATGAGTTGGTAGCTTCTAACAGTTAGGGACCAGCTGTGCACATAACAAATCATCCACCACATGGTCACTTGGGCTTGGTAGTATGAGCCAGCAGCAGAAAGGGAAGGAGATTTAGCTATCATTTCATCCTTGAGGTTTAAAAAGTGACATTTGTCTCTTTCATTTCGTGTGCAAAGTATGGCTTTTTGAAGCTCCCCACAATGTGGTTAGCAGCTTCTGCTATACTTTGGGTTGCTTCATTAGGAGAATTGTACTTTTCAGCTGGGATGACTAAAGTTACAGAATTATTATATAAATTCAGTAACTATGATTCAATGGCTAGTTTAAATATAGAAATGGAGAAAAGGAATTCATAAGCAAGTTTATTTTCCATAACAGTTATTAACTAGTTATCACTCTTCAAGCCAGTGTTAATTTCCATTTGCCTTGTACAGTGGTCATTTTAGACCGGCATTTACTTCCACCACATGCCAGACAGACCTGGTGTTATCTCACTGTTTGGTCATGTGAATTGTTGCCAAGGGCAATGCAAACTCCCAAAACTGAGGTGATCAAAATCTTGATATATCTTTAAAATAAAGAAATGAACCCCCCATCATGCCTAGCTGCCTCCCTTGTGACTCTTGTTGATTGTACAACAGTCTGGGTCTTTGCTAGGCAATACAGAGGCCAGAGGTGTATGGAAGCTGTGGACTGAGTTTGCCTAACCAAGAGGGATTGGTAGCAGAATAACATTTTGCATACTTGTATCCTTTCCTGCAGTGATATTAACTTCACCTTCACCCATTTTTGCTAGTATTAAAGTTTGGTTGCTGGAACTAGCGACCCACTTTTATCTATCCGCAGGGGCTGTCTGTTGGCCTTTCAGCCCCGGTGATCATTATTTATACTATGTATGGCTGGGCATGGCATTTGGAGCACCCTGCTCCCACGTGCTTAGTCTGAAGTCCTGCTCCTGTAACTTGTCTGGCAGGACTGCATCCATGTGGATCCAGGAAATGAAAGATGAAACAGTGACATAGCAAGGAGGAAGGTAAGGACAACAGCATTATGATCACTCAGAGAATAGGGTGATTGTTTTACTAGTTGCTGTTTGTTTTTTGTTTTTTAATTACGTGTTGAAGCTCTGAGGTCTGATTCTTTTCTGCATTCCTCCAGTTATATCCCGAGGATCCTACACATGTTTGTACTATGTTGTAGTCATGGCTAGGATTATCCATGGCTCCAAATATTCAAAACCAATCATGAGACTGTATGTCTTTTTAAATAACAAATGCTGGGTTCTTTCATTTGTCCTCTGGTTCCTAAGTCTGTAGGGTGGACTCAGGTCTAATTTTCAAGATTTTTTTTTCACAACCATGAATGCTAGAAATGTGTTGAGAAATAAAACGAGAACCCTAAGAAAGAATCACGAGATCTGGCAAGGCTAGGTTCGTTACCTTGAGGTAAAACTGCAGGAACGTTCACAGACAACCTCTTCCTGTAACAGCATGAATGTGCAGCAATGCTTTGCAGTTTGATAGCTCTGCATATTCCATACAGATTTATTCATTCAATCCCAGAGCACAACTTGGAGTCACTGAACCTGCTGCACTGAGAAATTGGGGCATCGTGAGGTGAGGAGGGGCTGTGTTTTCAAAGGTCCAAATAAGCATTTTGAACTGCCCAACAGCCTAACACAGCACAAGTCATGCCAGGCAGTGGCTCCCTCAAACACACCCTGCTGTTCTGACCAGGAGCAGTGTAGCCATGTCAGAAGTACTAATTTGCCCACCCAGATGTGGCTCAACTGCTCCAGGCCCTGGAATGGCGCTCACTTGCTTGTCTGTCATGGCAGCCTTGTGGTCCAGACCTTGTGGCTACTGTAACTCATGAGTAAATCTGGGAATGGGATGGCAGAAATCTAATTCCCATGAATGGGAGAAAATCTCTTACTATGAGAGACTTAAATATCCAATCTCTTCAGTTTATTGAAAACTTAGGCAGCACTTCTCCTCCAACTGTCCATGACACACACTGTATTTGGTGCTGGAGCATTTATCAGTTAGAGCAGGAGATCTTGAGCCCTGGTTCCTTGGTTGTATTCCTAGCTCTGCTCTTCTGATTTTAAAATGAGCAATACACAATATTGACACAGCACACGCTACCGAACGAAGCTAGGTGACTGATATCTCAACAAGTAGTTATCAGTGGAGAATTGCCACTGAATGGGGATGTTTCTAATGGGTTCCATAAGAGTTGGTACCAGTCCCAAGGCTGTTCAGTGACCTGGAAGTAAATATCTGATACAAGGGGTGATAGAGGGAACTATAATGAGGAGAACAAAGGAGTCATGCAGAATGATCCAGCACGTTTGGTGAGTCGGGCTTATCCAACTGAGGAAAGCAGGCCATGACTATAGAATGGGGTGCTATATCCTGGAAAGTGTAACAGGGGGCCAGAGGCTCCCGCTACTTTAAGGGGATGCTGCAGCATGCTAAGCTTGCTGGGTGGGATCAGAAGCTGAGCAAAGGCTAGCTGGAGGGAAGCAAGCAGGCCAGTATCGGCTGGTATAGGAGCTACTGGGGAGGGGGGAGAGATTATCCCCTTGAGGCAGCAGCTGGGCAAAGGCCAGCTGCTAGAAGAGCAGCTAAAATGCAGGCATAGGCAGCCCAGAACTGCAAGCAACTGGGCTAATCCGCAGCAAGGAGAAGCAGGCTGGTCATCAGGCCCAGAGTGAAAACCCCTGTGGGTGGCTGGACAGCTGCCCAACAGGAAGAGGTGAGGCTTTCGAGGCACACAAGATCAGTGCCTGAGACCAGGTGGTCAATCTGACCCTGCAGGCAGCAGGTAGAGGAGCTCCCAAGAGAGAAGACCTGCAGGAGGCAGCCTGGCAGGCACCCAAGCCCATGCTCCCCCAAGACAGCCCGAATGAGAGGGCTCCAAAAGAGGCATGGCTTGTGGGAACATTGAGCCAGAGCAGGGAAAGCTTTTAGTTCATAATGCAGCTTGCTTAGGTTTAGATTGTGTTTATGTTTGGATTAAGGGAGGACCAGGTTGTGGCTCTGAGGAAGGTCTGGAGGCCACTGTTAGGGAACCTAGCTTGGGGTCAGAGACCCAGAGGGCTGTGGGCTGGTGCACACCAAGGCTGGAAGAGCCCAGGCCAATGGAGGCAGCCTAGCCTGATGTCAAGGACCAAAGGGGCTGAGGCTGGTGCAAACTGAGACTGGGAGAGCCAAGGCTGGTGGGAGCAGCCTGGTCTGGGGTCAGGGACCCAGAGGGCTGCAGGCTGGGACAGAGGCACTGTAGCCATATAGAGCCGGAGAGCAGGAGGCTAAGGCCACAGCAAGAAGGCTGAAGCCAGAGCAGGCTTAAGCCAAGGGGAGCTAAGGAGAGGGGCTGAAGCCTTGGACAGGTTGAAGCCAGATTGGGGCCAGGGGCCCAGGAAGAAGAGAGCCTTGTTAGGATCAGGGGCTTGGCAAGCTGGAAGAACTAGATAATTAACACATGGGGCCACCAGGGTCAGTGGACAATCTAAAGTACCATCTGTGAGGCATGGGCATAGCTGTAGGTTCAGAAGAAAGCCACAAAGAGCTCTTAGGCCAGCTGGGGCCTGGCGGGAGGGTCCTGACTTAAGGCTTGAAGGGTAGGACTGGGGTCAATTGCGCACATGAGGGGCCCACTGGCCAAAAACAAGCTAGGGCTCACTCTGGGACCTCAGGGAAGTCTCTCTTTTTACAGTACAAATAATTCCATCCACGCATGACAGGAAGAAGAAAGAGAGGGTACCCTGGGGGGCCAGAGTGGGCAGAAGCTGCACAGACACCAGGGAGCATCATGGCTGCCCCTGGGGCCCAGTCCTGCTGTAGAAAGCCATGGCTCTGAAAAGGATTTTGGGTTTACCCTGGATGAGCATCGCTCACAGAGTTTCCTCTATGGGGTGCTTGCTCAGGATTGCTGGGGCCGTGTCTTGTTTCTGAGAATACCTCTTGAAGCCAGCCCAAACTTGACTTTATGAGCAGATGGGGAGCTCAGGCCCCTTCCGCAGTCCTGGCCATAGCCTTTTAGTCTCTCACCTTCCCCTGCTCTCCTTGGCCCTGACTCTGTGAGTGAGCATCAAGTTCAGTTCCTGAAAGAGAATCCTCCTTTTGGGATGACCCAGTGCAACCTACAGTTGCAAGCAGCATAGCAGAAAGTCTCTTCAGTAAAGGCATTTATTGGAGCAAAGGCCACCCAGCCAGAGGTTCACTGTCCCTTCCACAGGGGTTAAAGCAATCCTTCCATCCTACAGAGTTATGAGCACTCGCAGATATCCTCCTCTAGTTTCAGTCTGCTGACTTTTCTGGCCAGTCTGCTTGTTCCCAGTCTGCTTGTTCCCAGCCTGCTCTCCCACTGTCATGCGTATCTCCTCTGGACTCTTCTTGGGCATCTCACCTCTGTTGATAGGTCAATGAAGCCATTCAAGGCTTTGTATATGCTAAACATCTGTCTCATCTCCTGCAGGCAGCCAGCCCAGGCACTTATCTTTCATTCTCTATGCACATGCTAATGAGCAGGGATCTGGGTTTTCCAGTTCCCATGGAAAATGGAAAAAACAGTGGAGTTCACCATTTACTCAAGAAAAAAACAGATTTTCCATTTTAATGGAGATTTTGCACTTTTTCAAAGAGCTGTCTGCAGGCCAGCAGAGTTCTAGCCTGCAAGGGACTTGGGGGAGTGGGAGGAGGGTGGTCAGACAGGGGGCACCGTGTATGTATATGCACATGGCCACCAGGCAGCCTGGAGAGCAGCTGTCACAGGTAAGTTGGTGGGGGGCGGGATGGGAGGGATTGAGGCCTCCATAGAGAGGGAGGGAGTTGGGCAGGGCTGGGGCTGGGAATGCTGCTCAGCCGAGCAGTGCATGGGGCTTGGGGCCCAGGCACTGCTGCAGGGGGACAGGGGCCTTTGGACCCAGGTCCCTGGCCCCATAGCCCTGGCGGCTGGGGGCCCCCTCTGGCAGGTCTGTGAGGGGTGAAGGGCACTGGCAGGGCCAGGGGAGGAGGGGGCTGTGTGTGGGAGGGTGGGGAGTGAGGGGCACCAGCAGGGCTGGGGGGCTGTGGCTGGGGAGTGAGGGGCCTGGACCTGTGTTCTGTGGGCTAAGGAGGCAGGGGGAGCTCTGATTTTCCATGATAAAAAACCCAAAATCAAATACCAAAATTTATAGGTATTTAGAATTTATTTTATTTTAGTGTTTGAGGCACTGGTAGGCTTCCAAATTGCTTTAAAATTGTAAATGTATCAATAAAACATTGTGTTCAGCTGATGTATACATATACATATATAGTGGTCTTTCATTTTAATCATGGATTTTGGGGTTTTTGTCAGATAATTTGTAACTTTTTTTATTAGGATTTTTTTTTTTACCATGATCCCTGCTAATGAGGTAAGCTGAATCACATAATATGATTCATAATAATATGAATACAGTCAATATAGAAATATCACAGTAAAACATAGTCCACCACAGCATTCAAGTGTGATGCTCTGGCAGAAAAGGCCAATGTGGTCCTTGGCTGTGCAAAGGTGGGAGAAGGCAGGGGCAACGTGTAGGGGGTGCATGTGCACCCCCTGCAAAAAGGTGCCGCCAACATTGTGAGGTGGTTGCTGACCTGCGGGTGGTCGCCGACCCCTGGTCAGTGCTTGCCATCCCCCTCCCTGCTGTTGATCGTGCTGGTGGTATCTGTGGGAGCTCTCCTCTCACCGCTGGTGCTGTGCTCCCGCTGCCACCGCTGCTGTGCTTCTGCCACTGCCAGCACAGTTGTGCCCCACCACAGCCACTGGGGGCATTTGCCGTTCATGGGAGAAGGGAATAAAAGTGAGGAGGTGAGTTTGCATCTCTGTGCGGTGTTAGTGAAACATACTGGGACACTGCATACAGTTCTGGTATCTATATTTTCAGAAGAATGCTGAGAAACTGTGAGAGGTGCAGAAAAGAGCCACAAAATAATGAAGGGCTGGAAAGAATGCTCGACAGTGGGAGACTTAAATTGCTCAATCTGGTGAGTTTAAATTTTCAAAAAGATTAAGAGGTGGCTTGATTACAGAATAGAAATACTTTAAGGGGAAGGGGGCAGAGAATGACTAGGCATTAAGAGACTGCTTTAACTCAGCAGAGAGTCATGGTAAGAACCAATGGCTGGAAGCTGAAACCAGAGAAATTCAAAATAAGGAATTTGGCACAGTTTTTCAACAGTGAGAGGACTGACCCTGGGAACAAATTACCATGGGGAATGGTTGGTTTGCTTATTGATATCTTCAAATCTAGACTGGATGTCTTGCTGGAAGATATATTTTAGCCAAAGACAAGTTACAGGGCTCAGTACAGGACTATCAGGGTGAAAGTTAATGGCCTCTGCTATACAGGAGGTCAGGCTAGGTGACTTAATTGTCCTTTCTGGCCTTAAACATGAACTGGCTCACTGTGTGAGCTTGGGTATGCCACTGTGTACCTTGGCTTCTCCTTCTATAAGTGGGTATCATAAGTTTCCACAGGGACTAGTTTTTAAACAGGTTGTATAATGTGCATTGAGATCTTTGGACAGAAGCTGCTCTATAAGGAGAATTTAGTATTATCATGCTAGTCCTTGCCCCTTGCTCTCTGTCATAAAAACACAGGCAAGAAAAGCAATTGGCTTCCCTATATATAGTCACTTTTGTCCCTTCAGTTTTGTTGTTTCCAACTGTTTATTTATTATGAGACTCTCCAGCAGTCAGAATTGCTGGTCTCTTTGCTCTGTTCCCCCTAGAGTTTTTCAGCGGGCCTGATAATATCTTTCATTATACTATATAGTGAGAATCCTTTTGCAGATCAATGTTTACCACCTCAGGCAGCACATTTTCAATAAAATCAGTGACAGCAGCTCTCGCCTGGACCTTATTAATCTTTCTGTTTGCTACGCCCCTGGTTCTCTAACAGCTGAAGGTATCTTTCGTGACTTCAAGTAAAGCTTTATTAAAAAGTGTTTGGGTCCTTCAGAATTGTCATTGGCTCTGTTCTTTCATTTTGCCCGTCTTTCCGTTTTCTCAGCTTGCCTTTCAATTTTTTTCTCATGGCTTTCCTGCTGAGAGTCATAGTGTCTGCATTTAGGTGACAGCCCAAACTTTGCTGTTTTCTGACACACCAAGGAATCTAGCAGTGCCCAAAAATGACCTATTTGTGGTCACTGTCCAGCTGCAATTCCTGTATACCAGAGAGGGCTGTGGGGTAAAGAAATTGTTGTGGTCATTTTAATTTTCACTGCAGGGAATTTAGCTACTTCTTACCTTCTTCTGGGAGAACCAGGATAACTTTGTTTCTGTTTAATACTGTCACCTTTCAGTAGGACATGAAGAATGAGTGTGGTCATTGCATTTCGCAATGGACAGTTTCCCATATAACAAAAACATCCCCCCCTTTCCATCAGTAACAGCAGTATATATATCCTTCTTGGCAATCTCAGGGAAGATGCTAAAAGTTGATGGCTCCACTCACTCCTCAGTTTCCCCCAAAGACTCTTTATATTGGGCTTTAAGCACCCAGAGGTGTTCCTATTCTCTAGATAGACAGAGATGTCAATGGCCAGTGTCTTTCAACCTAGCATCTTTTAATGAGCAGAAGAACTTACCTGCATGAAGGATGTTTTTTTTAAATTATTACATGGAGATCATTAAAAAAAAAAGATTGCTTCCCCGTGCCCTTCTTGAGTCATTCTCCCCAGCCCTCATGCTCTTTCATTGTCCTCTGAAAGGCTTTACACTGAAAGATTTCTAGTCTTTCCAAAGTGCAATGTGATGTGTCATTATAGGTGTATGTAATGGAGGATGCTTTAAAGAGACAGCATTGCAGAATCAGAGCAGACACATGGCTGACTTTGTAATGCATTAGATCTGACACAATGTGGAACAAGGCACTAGCATCAGATTCATGCCTGTCTCCTCAGAATATGGTAGTATTTTCTCTTCCTGCCAAATGATCATTTTGCTGTAATCATCACGTGATAATCCCAGAACCTGATGGAGCTATAGTAGCTTCTTGTGCACCTGTAATAAATGTGAAAATCACAGTCTTTCGTGGGTGAGACATTGAATTTCCTCTATGAATGTGCCTCAGCTTTGCTCTTCTTGCTAGGTATTCAAGAGTCTTTTTCTTTAATTTATTTTTCCTTAGAGGTAAAGTGGTTTCTCAATGGACAAGGTGGTTATAAAATCCTGACAGGAAACACAGCAATGTTTTCAGGAAGAATGATTGCTAACCATAAGGAAGAGCTCAGTCCCAGCTCATGGGTAGAGTTTGCAGTGTCAGAGTTGCATTGGTCTCCAAGACCCTTGGCCACTAGATGGCAATGCGGCACTCTTAAACATGGGACCCCTTTCTCCTGTAAAATACTCTTTTTTTTCTGTATTTATCTCCACCAAACTGATGATTCCACCCACCACCCTGTCAGGAGAACAGAACAAAATCATTTCATAGAACATTACAGCTGTGGTGCTTTTTCTTTTTCTTTTTTTTTCTACTCTTTTTTTTTTTTTATTTTTTTGCATTTCTTTGTCCCGCAGCAGGGTGCAGAGGTTTGGAAACCTTTCTTAATCACTCTGCCTCTAAAAACAGAGAAAACACTGCCTCTTGGGAGCAATTAACTGTGAGAAAAGCTTTTCTCAAACAATTGCCAGGAAATATTGTCTTGACCGATATTCCTGATGTAACACTGTCATTCTCGGCACTGTTATTCTAAGGCATTTATTTGACTGCAAAAAAGCAGCAGGGTACAGAGCTGTAATGTGCAATCTGCAGTTTACCTCCTACCTTACCTTTTTATATCCGTTTGCTTTCAGGTCCCCCGTTCCCCCCCCACCAAATAGCTAGGTGGTTCTCAAGAATTATCAGCAACTGTATTAGTGAATCAGGCAAGGATTAAGCCTATGCTTGAATTTAAGGTTGTGCCTCCACTCTTCAGATCCCTAGTGGAAACTTTATGGCCAGGAGGTCCAAATAGATAGTCATCGTGGTCCTTTATTGCTGTAAAGCTAGCAATCCCAGAATATACGAGTCTGGAGCTGGTGCAGCCTGCCCTCACCTGGGAGTTGGGGCCTGATCCTGCAGGCCCTTCTCCACCTGGAGAACTATCTAGCTATTGACTTAAAAGGGTGTAAGCGATTGCAGTGAGGCAGTAAGTTACCACTAATAAGAGCCAGGTTAAGCAACAGCTAGAAACTACTGACACACATGTGCATGTACATCCACACACACAAAACAGTATTTGTTTTCATTGCAAGACACAAATTTTGTCTCTCTCTGCGAGTATTGCTTAAAGTCATGGAGGTATAAGAAATAAGCCACGCTCTCTGGGACAGGGTGTTAACTGAAGCACCTTTTGGAAGACAGACAGCAGTGTAATCCTTTCATTCAACCCTGTCTGCAGCTGCTTTTTATAAACTTGGCATAAATATGTACTCAGTGAGGCCAGGCCTGCGTATCTGGAAAATATTTTCCACAATCTAAAAAAACAGAAGGTTGGAAAAAGAGCCCAGAAATTGTGCATAACATGGAATGGCCTTGCTTGTGGTTTTTTTCCATGATTTCCTCAGCTCATTTTTCTGCTGCCAATTTTAGAAGCCCATAAGTCATACTTGTTAAGCTTTCTCAGTTAAAATGTAACTCTCAGAACAAAAGTGGTTATGATATGTTGCAGCCAAATAATTGTTGCAGAGCCTCTGACTTGAGAAAAGCTACCTTGCCTTGGCCAACTTGCCTATCTGTAAGTCCTCCCAGCCCAGGGCACAGAGTGCCAGTGGGCACATTAGCAACCCCAAGCCCAGTCATGCAGCCTTTGCAGATGAAGTGCCATTGTTGACTTCAGTGAGAGCTCCTTCTCAGATCTGCTAGTATAGCCAAAGCCTCAGTGTGTGCAGTGGTGCATGCTGTCATTTTAGGAGTGCAGCCCCGTCTCTCAAAAATGCCTCAAGCAGAAAGAGAAGCAGTGGAGGGGATGCCAGGAGGCTGAATAGGACCCAAGGCTCTTAGAAGCAGCTGTAAGTAGGCACTGTTGCCTGCAGGCTGAAGTAGCATGGGAGTGAGAGGAAGATGAGTTACCAAGAGGAAAAGTTGAATTTGCCGGAGGGTTTGAATAAAGGGCATCTTTCCTGAGATGCAGTTTCAAACACTGAATCACTGTGGAAGCATTTGAAAGCCAGAAGCAAGATTTTGGTCAGTTTGCCCCTCATTTATAGGGCGAGTCTGCCTACCCTGCTCCCCGAATGGACTTGTCTCAAAGCTTCCATGGCCCAATCTCTTTTCTCTCTGGGAGCAACTCCCCAGGAGGTGTCAGAGATGGAGTTACTCTAAATTTACCCTTGGGTAACTGAGAGCAGAACTTGGCTCCCTGTCTGTCATTGCCGCCAAGAGTCAGGAGGCAGCCAGTATTGTCCTGAGGTTAGCGCGTGGCTCTGGGGCGGACTGTCCCAGTCAGCATTCCTGAACTCTGGCACCTGCTTTCTCAGGCGTTTTTTTTTTCTTGGAAAGGAAATGCTGGGCTCTAGCCACCAGGGGCCACTGCGTTGTGCAGGGAAAAAGCTGCCAACTGTCCACTTTCCAGAACCATCTCTGCTTCAGCAGATCCCTTTGCTGCGGGGGGCCAAGCAAAAGCTGGGAGGGGAGCAGGGAGTCGCCGGATGCCTCCTGGCCAGCGCAACTTTGCACCCCAGTGCTACCCTGCTGTCTGAGTTGTGCCCCGTGGCACTTTTTTCCCATAAATGTTGGCAGCTACAGACTTGAATCTGCTTTGGCTTTTCCTGGCATCCGTCACGAGCAACCCAGGCAGTGAAGCCACTCCAGTATAAAACAAATTTGAGGGCTCCCCGAGTGTCCCTTGTTCTTTCCGAGAGAAGCATCATTTTGAAACCTGCGTGGTCTTGCTGGACAGGGGGGGAGGGAACAAGCCAAATGGAAATCAGCTGGATTATCAGAATATTTTCTGATGGAAACAGCAGTTTCAAAAGCTAGCTCCCCTGACTGCCCTTTCTT